GCTTCCTGTCAGAGGATTTCGCCCTTTTGGACGTCGCCATTCGATGGGAAAATTGATAAAAGGAATAAACTCAACTATGCCAAGAAAGGTATGGCAGTCCAGGACATGCTTCTTCTCACCGCTGGTTGTATCGATGTACTCTCGCAGCGACGCACGCAGAGATATGCCAATGAAATGATTGTCAATGGAACATCACTACGTCGTCACACAGAACATATATGCAATAGTTGCTGCGAGTTCGGACTACGATTGTTGACGGTACGGTAGGGCATCATTGTGACGATATGATGATGTTAAGGCCTGGGGTGGCATTTCGAACCTTCTCGGATTGGCTGCTTGGCTTGCTGATGAAGCATCTCGCTATCAAGGGTTCTGAGCGGCCATTGAAGCGCGAATAGAAAAAAATGTGCTGGATGTTGGGTATGCATGCTCAAATACTGGCGTGCTGGCGCTGACGGGAGAATTGATGTGAGAGGACGAAGCTTGCCGTTTGGGCAAAAAGTTTGGCTTCACACGGCCGGGGCAAAAAGCATACATCCGGAAAATTTGGAGTATTGGAGCTTTGTTGTCGAGTGACGCAGAGACAAGAGCCAGAGATCCAAGGTTGTTCGAGAATAATAGACTTTGCTTAGACCAAAAGTTCTAGACCATGACAGGAGGGGTGCAATTCGTCGTTGGCCCATTATTACTGTATCAACGCTGCACGATGTATTCATGGTTCACGGGGGCGCGCAAAACCACGTGTCATTGCCGTAATGTTGAAAGTCTCATGTACTTCTCAGTTGGCACTTCGCCGGTGGTACTCCATCATGCCTATGGGGAGGCAAGCTGAGTAACAAGAGCTGCTCTCAGAAACCCGTGACGTGACGGCTGCCGTGCTTCTCGTCCTGTGAGGGTCGTCTTTGTCGATGCTTGGATGGGTTGAGGGGCTGATGACTGCGGGGTTGGGAGGGGCTCCTGCTGTGTACTGTACTCGAGGACTCGACGAGCTGTGGTGCTCCTCAGATCTTGAAGGGGTGAGACCGTGAGACCGTGAAACCGAGCAAATGGAGGTTCTGGTGGAGAGTGTGGCACCATGAGGTGTGTGCCACCAAATGCTCTCATCGACGAGGTATGGCGGTGGAGGCGACGAGAAGATGTGAGAACGGTAAAGTGCAATTGTATGGGTAAGAATGATGGATGCCGACTGGGTGGTGAGTGCGAGACGGCGACATGTGTGGGTGGGTGGAAGAGGAGGGAGGGAGGGGAGGTAACGGAGAAATACTGGAAGCGATCCATGGATCCATGGAGGGGTCGGACTGGTGTTTACCCAATCCACGGCTCCATGGGTTCACAGCTGCACGCTGCAGGCCCAACAACACCGTAATCCCCAGTTCATCACACTTCATATCACCCATCACCATGTGGCGTTCTCGACCGCTCAACCTCTCGACGTACGGAGTACTTACTGGAGTGGTATCGCCATGGGACATGTACTGGATCTCGACGCATAGGTGGGCTCTCCAGAAACGCCTCCTTTTGCCAGCTAGGCTATCATCTACTTTCCTGGGAGGTCAATAGTACTTTGGACCTGGGGAGCCATACATCCAGACATCCAACATCCGTCGGGCTTTTTGCTTTCTTCGGGTCCCTTGCACTTGCACTTGCACTTGCCATGGTATGATGATAGCCTCCAGACGTCTGCTGAGCTGGCCGTTGGGCTTTGGCCTTTGCTTTACCTTTGCTCGGTTGCGTTTGAGGTCCGGGACTGTCTCGACGAGTCTCCAGAGCAAAACGAAGTGCTGGCAGCTACTCGTACACCACTAATATGGTACTGCTCCTGCTTCTGCGCAGTAGTAGCGGTGCCCATCCAAGATTGGGGATGGACGACTCTGATGCAATCTTGGTCGTGCGAATCCTACGTGTGTCCAGCGAAAGAGCCGTTCTGTAGATTATATCAAGAGCAGCCAGCCCAGATGAGAACCGGGCAAGG